GTTGACGCAGGTATTGTACACAGGTAAGTTGGGGAACTAGGGATCGAGCCCTGGGATCTACCTCAGCTACCACGAATTGGTGAATACCGTTTCAATAATATGAATCTATATGATAATATATTTCGCACTCTTAAAGTTCCCCCGGTCGGGTGTCATGCGAAGTCACAGCTCATCCCCACAGGATTCTGCCATTCGTCAAAATCTGCTGTCCGATAAGCAGCGCCGTTTTCGGCTTTCATCTACGGTGCCCCGGAAAATGCAAACGGAAAAGTGGGCCGCGCTCTGGAAATCGCTAAGGGAAAAATGGGGTGCTACTGTGACCCGAACCTAATTTGACAGGCTGTTCACACTCACAGGCGACTTGAATAACCCAGGGTGGAATGTATATATCCAGATGATTGAAAAAAAAAAGACCAAGCTCGCGTGTTGTTCCAGAGTTTGACTGGGTCCTAAAGTCACCGACTTGACTCCATGGGCCTTCCATTTCTTCTCTCATTGGCCAGACTACTCCCACTTTTCTCCTCCTTACTCATCCCTAGCGATAGAAGTCTTCTTCGTCACCCTCAGGCACCTCCTCATCACCGTCGTGCATTGGCAGCAGCATGACTTGCGGGTGAATGCCCAGACTTGATACCTCACCGAATGATATACTCTTTGCCCCAGGCTCTACTGTGTCTCACCCGCGTGCTGCGTGGACCTAACCGCTGTGCTTTCCGAGCTACCAGGTTCCCACTTTGGAGAAACATAATTTGGGATTGTTTAAGCCACCCTTGCACCTATGTATCCAGACTGACATCGGCCCAGATTCAGGGCCTTGCCACACCACTGTCAAAACGACTCAAAGCCTTGAATTCTCAATGGCTGTCAGAAGAAATTTGGAAGCTGCCCTTTCAAGAGTTTCCCCCCTTTCGCTGCACAGCGTTGTTGCACCGGCGGACTCAAGAAAGCAAGTCGGAGAATAATCTATTGCAGCAACACCTCCTAATTTATTCGGTATACTACGAAGAATTGAATAAATAGGTAAAAAATGTCATTCTGGCACTATGTGAGGCTGGGGTTAACATAGGATATGCAGGTATATAATTGTTAGGATGTCCCAATACGTTAGGTGCATAAAAAAACAAAAATGGACAAAAGTATTGCAAAGGCTACTACCCAGCCTACTAAATCTTTGAGTGAAATAGCATTACTGACGACTTTTATAGATAGGCAGGCATCAGAGAGCCTTTCTCGAACAATATGTGCAAGTTCCTGGCATACAGCTCTCATGGAGGTCTTTCGGTGGCAGCTGTAAGTAAGCGGGCAGAGGCTCGGAAACTGCAACATGGATATCGTGTGGATGATCAATCAAATCTGTGTTCTCCATAGGACCCTTTGTGATGTTTGGCATCAGTCACTACCATGGTCCCTCCGTCGCCCCTAGTGTTTGCACTTTCGGGCGATCTCGAATACCAACCAATTGGGAATGTGGGATCCTTTTATTCACGGATAGTTGTTTCTACAGAGTGATTGACTTCATTAAACCACCAGTACTTGGCCCAGCTATTGTCCGCGGGAAAAAATAGAGTAGAAACCATGGCTGTGCTGGCAACCGACCGGTTGGACCGGCCCGGATCCAACCGGGCCGGTTGGACCCCCGGTGGTCCAACCGGAATTCCGGTTGGGTCCAAAAGTGGGTAAAAAATTTTTATTTTTATTTTTTTGAAAACATGGTTGGACTGCGCTCACTGAGATCTCCCCAAATCCGCAAAGAAAACTTTGAACAGAGAAGTTTCGTTTGGGGGGTTGGGGGGTTGTGGGGGGGGGGTATTTCAGGG